GTCGAGTCGTTTTGCAGTGCATCAATATTGTATTTAGGTAGATTCGATTCCAGGGGTTTTGATTGAGCTATTTCTTTGTCATTTTGATGTAGTAGCCGAGGTCGATACTGTAGGTAACATTTTGATCTTACCATATAGTGGTCAGTTCCGCACTCCGGTCCTCTTAATACTCTTATGTCTTCAACTTGTATGTGTGTTTCTTGTTTTGTGATGACATAATCTATAATTGACTTTGTGTTTCTCGTTGGTTGAACCCAGGTGTACTTATGTATGTTTTTATGTTGGTAGAATCCGTTTAGGATTTTCAGAGAGTGCTGTTCACAGAATTCGATTAAGTGTTCCCCATTTTCATTTGTCTTAGCGTCACCATATTTTCCTACGACTTTGTCATTTATTTTTGTTCCTGTCCAAGCGTTAAAATCTCCCAATAGAACAATTTCTTTGCGGCTATTTATATTTTCAATGAGTTTCGATAAAGTTTCGTAGAATATTTGTTTAGCTGCTTTTGATGCATTTTCTGACGGAGCATATATTCCAATGATCTCGAGGTCGTGCCCTTTCCACGTAATAGATACTCTAATAATTTCCACAAGGAATCTACGTTCCTGTAGTTGGCTGTATACCATGTATTAAAAATTTAAATTAAAAATCCTTTGTAATAGGTATATTTTAGGCCCAAACGGGCTAAGTTAAAAAGACAAAACGTTTTCGGAAACCATGTTCCATCATCAGTGTCTAGGAGTACATGAATGTAGCCACCAAGATTAAATATGTGGGTAAAAACCCGATTACATATGTTTAATTACATTTAGTTTTAAAATAATGTTGTAATGATTTAGGATTATAGAGTTACCGATGGATTAGGTAACATGGCGACATACGACTCCACGTTGAAGTTGCTAGTCCTGAGACGGTATGTCTTCGAGGACTGTATGCACTCATACAGTCATCATGTGAGTGCATACAGTCCTCGAAGACATACCGTCTCAGGACTAGCAACTTCAACGTGGAGTCATATGTTGCCATGTTACCTAATCCATCGGTAACTCTATAATCCTAAATTATTACAACATTATTTTAAAACTAAATGTAATTAAACATATGTAATCGGGTTTTTACCCACATATTTAATCTTGTGGCTACATTCATGTACTCCTAGACACTGATGATGGAACATTGTTTCCGAAAACGTTTTGTCTTTTTAACTTAGCCCGTTTGGGCCTAAAATATACCTATTACAAAGGATTTTTAATTAAACTCTAATAATTCTCTCATTGATCTGCTCCCAGCTTTTCAGGTTTCCTTTTAAGTCTTTTTTATCAATATTGACACCCCTGCTTGTGCTCTTTTGTCTTTCTTTACTCCACTATAAATATGTATAAAACCTCCTATGTCTTGACTACCTTGGCCTTTTTTCTTTGTTTCGGTAAGAACTGTGATATCTGATTTTATTTTATTTACTTCTGCCATGACTTCGTCTGACTTGGTTCTCCACCCTTGGATATTCCATGTATTTATATTCAAAGTCCTTGTTCGTTTGCTACGTCATCTTCGTTTTTTCCCGTCCATATTCCGAGGCTGGATTTTGGAATTTTTTGCAGTAAGTTTTTCACGGGTGTAGAGGAGCAGGCCTTACGTCCCAACCCCCTACCAGGAGGACCAGGATTTTCTGTTAGGGTTTACTCCCTTAGTCGAGAGAAGAGTAGTAGAGTGTAGTAGACAGAATTATAGTGACCCGTCCGCCCTCGGATTACCCTAATAGCCACTCGGGGTCGGAAAAACAAGAGTTTGCCAAGAGAGGCCGATAGGAAAGATTAAAGACATTTCACTCCAGACAAGTTGAAAAAGAGCAAAATGTGAATGCCCTTATGATCCGCCAGGTACGTTTTATAAGCGTATGAGTATTGGTACACTTTGTATTCCCGCTCATACCTCGGGGTGTCGACTACAGACTGTATGGCTCTTCCAGCATGCCATAGCATGGAGGATAGGGTGCATGTCATTTTTACAATGTAGACCCCTAAACTCCACGGCCTGACTAAACTTTTTATTTTTATAAATGAAAATAATCGTAGAAAAAGTATATTACACAACTTGAGTTGTAAGCTTATTATATGCTTGTAAAATTACTGCGCTCGTCGCTACTCAGCTCACGCGCAACTTTTTTACTCGCATGTAATAAGCTTCTTACAACTCTCGTTATGTAATATACTATTTTAAATGTTTTAGACATGGACGTATAAAAATCTTTATTTATACGTCCATGGTTTTAGATAATGCGTAATGTGAAAGTTTAAATTCAGTATTTTTTAGGCATATTTCAAAAGTCCCATATTTATTTGCCAAAACTCAAAATCGAAATGGCATGTAACAAGTTTTGAAGATTAGGCTCTAACAACGGAAATTCCAAGTGATCAATTTCATTCATCCCATAAGAAAAGTAAAAAATGACAAAGATCGCGCAATGTTTAACTATCTAACAGCTTTATAGAAACTGTTTTTATTTGTGGCAAAATGCATGCAAAATTTGCATACAAAATCTACACTTTTCATTTTTAAAACGCATTTTGATTTTTATTGAGTTTGATACATTTAAAATCGCCGGTCGCTTCAAGCGTTGTTTCTCATATAACGGTTCATTATACAGAAAAAAATTTGTGTCCAAAATTATCTCAACTAAATTTCTTGTTTAAAATATATTTTTTTTTTGGCGTACAGGAATCCATGTTTTCCGTTCCCCCCTCTCCTCATCGAGTTGCTCCTAGCCCGGGCTTCCCAGTTCCCTGATTACTTAAACTCTGTTTAAGTAATCAGTGTTTAAGTAATCTGTGTAAAAACTTAATAGAAGCTTCAAAATAAGTAAATGTTAGTGAAGATGTAAAATTACTTTTTTTAGATGAGAAATGTATTTTAAAATACGAATTCTAAATAAATATATTAAAGATAATTACAATATTCGTAAGAGAAAAATCACAAAGATTGTAAAATAGATGTCTCAATGATATTCACAAAGTCTCAAGAATGACCTGCTTTTCCTTTATGGTCAAATTCTTTACATTTTACCGGCCTTTTATATTTAATTTATGTTTTGTAGCAATATTTATTTTGTTTGTAATACACACAATCAAATCATAGATTCATATATTTCTTTAATTAATTTTACAAATTACTTATTTATTTTTAAACCACGTTTTCACAGAAAATAACTAGTTATGACTTCTTAGTGCAAGATTTGGCATCGAGGTATACTTACCGTTAACAGTTTAAGTTTCGAAGTTGTTCATTACACTAATGGAACAACGTTGCCATATGATGCATCGTTAAAATATGCTACACACAAGTCCCCTGGCTTTGTCTCGCTATGACGTCATGCGCAAAGTCGATTAAAATTAGAACGGGAAGTGAGCATATCTTGTTGTTATAGTATCATGTCCCTAACCTATGCCGTGCAGTTTATTTATAGAGCCAAGAGTCTGTTGAAATAATATTTACGTACACGTATGTCGTATTCATAGTAGCACTCAATCGATTAAAATCATAGATAAATAGAGTGTATGGTTCTTTTTCCCTTTCTAAACCATTCTTGGCAACATATCATCAATTTAATCAAAATTTTTGTGTTAGGTACTCAGTAGCATAATCCCTCCACATATTTTTGTGTTTATTAAAAATATTTTTGTAAATGATCTCTCTATTATATGCTCATTTCTACAATCTAAAGGCATGTTTTCTTATTTCCCAACGCATTACCTAAATAGTTTATAAATTTACAAAAAACAGTTTTTTGTGTTGTATTAACTCGATACCTACTCGTACTTCTTCGGAGATCTAGCTATTATCATAGTATTGCTATGTTGTGGAACGCATAGCGGAACTAAAATGGAATTGGGGAGGCCATACAGCGAGAATGCATGACTCACGATGGACGAACAAAATTACATATTGGAGGCCAAGAGCAGACAAACGTAGTAGAGGAAGACCATCTACACGTTGGGCTGACGGAAGAAGTTGAATGAAGGAGTTAAAGGGAGGCCTATGTCCAGCAGTGGACGTGATAAATAAAGGCTGGATTATGATGATGATGATTAACTTGATGTTAATTACAGACAGTCAGTCCCATTGTTTTTTTTTTGATAAAAACTGTTCCACTACTTTGGTAAATATTTGTGGCCATGAATTCGAACAAATAACAAAAAATAGTAACATTGAAATAAGAGAAAGTATAATAATATAATTATATAATATAATATAATATAATATAATTATATATATAATCTAGTTATATAATATAATTCTAAAATAATTTTAAAAAACAATGGAGGTGTTTTTGTCATATCTCAGATCTGTAAGAATATAACTTTGATGTTTTGACTAAAACACACAAAAATACTAATTGGGAATGCATTAATAGGAAGGTTTATGTCAAATAAATTAAAAAGAAATGAAACATTACAAATGATTCTATTAATCGTAGTTTATGAAATTAGAAAGATAATTAACTAAATAACGTTTAGTACTATGGTTCTGATAGCATTTTACTTTTTAAATCTTACATTTTCTAAAAATTAACTAAAATTTAATTTTTTTAATTTAATTGTTTCTACAATTAAGCTTTTAGAATAAAAATATTTCTAATTATAATATTTCAATATTCCAATAAAATATTTCTATTAAACTGGGAATAAGCCACAATTAAAGATAAAAATACGTTTATTGGCGTTTCAATTTCCACTTCGGAAATCGTTCTCAAAATACAAACAGTAAATTTACTGTTTGTTTTTTGAGAACGATTTCCGAAGTGGAAATTGAAACGTCAATAAACGTATTTTTATCTTTAATTGTGGCTTATTCCCAGTTTAATAGTAAGGAATTTACAATGCCACAAGAAAATAGCTTCAGAACAAAATATTTCTAATTATATTTGTCATAATGGTTGTATATTACTATAATAATTTTGTTTCATGAATTGTGCATACAAATTACGTATATAATAAAATTACCCTTCGTAGTTTGTTTCTTGACAAACATTTACCCATTCATGATCTAAAGAATCTGATCTTGAAAACTTTTGATCTTCAGGGCACATAAAATTTCCAAAACATCGTTCATGAATATTCACGTTTGCATCTAAAAGAAATCGAACCATGGATGGATCTTCATTAACGATGGCGATATGTAACACATTTTCGCCTAAAATAAATATAAAAATAGATGTATACCATGTATAACAAAAATTTATTAAAAATCCTTTATAAAAGGTATATAATTAAAATAAATCGGGCTAAATCATAAAAAGTTTTCGGAATCTATATTCCATCATCAGTGTGTCTAGGTGTACATGTTTTGGGCCACTAAATATTTGGGTAAAAAGGCGTTAAATGTTATTATTTGAAATTTAGGTTACATTATTCGATCTTATATGTTATGCTGTTAAAGTGTCAGTGGAATTGATAACATGGCAACGTAAGACTCTACATGAGGTTGCTGGTCCTGAGACAAAGTGTCTACGAGATTGCTATCATACTAAGTATTCTTCTAAACATATTTTCCAGAATTTCTTTAAAAATATTTAAAATTTGGTTTTAAAAAAATACTTGGAATATTTACCATAATATTCATCTGACATATAAATATCGTTTATCATTCTGGGATAGAAACGCAATAACCTTTTTGCTAAATCTGCGTGTAATGACGTAGCGTTTAGTAAACAAAGATGCATCAGTGTCTCCCCAACAGCACCTCTATCCCTTATTCGCCAACAAAGATGTCGGTATAGATGTGGATCTGAAAGATATAGTTAGAAAATATAAATAAAAAGATATGTTTACTGTGAAAAGAATACTTTTTATTTAAAAGACTATATAATTATTAAAATTTAGTTAAGCTATAAAATGTACTAAAAAGCAAATGGAGATTTTTGTTAGTCAACAATGTTGCTAGATACGATTTCCAACAAAATAACTCAGAAAATGTAGGAAAGAGGTTTAGTTGTCGTTCTCATACCAATTGTTACAGAAAGTGGGGCTTGTTTCACTAATTGAAAATGGTTAAACTAATTCAAGTATTCTGTGTACTAATCTGTAAATCCGTTTCGTCCCTTTGTAAAATCAATTACGAAAAATATTTACTGTATATTTTTATAGGATTGGTTTTCAAAACTTCGATTATAAAAAATAGCGTATATGAACTGAAATATTTTGTAAGCTGTAAATGTTTCCAATCGTTTCTTCTGAATGTTTAGTAAAATCTTGTGTCTACTTGAATTCATTTTTGTAAAACTCTAAAAGTATTTTTGCTTAGTAAACCAATCAAAAAATAAACCTTTTTCATCACAAATTCGAGTTTGACCATTGAAATGCGTAGTATGAGTTATTACAAAAAACTCTCATCTAGGGAGGCATCAATTTTTAAATGGAAATATTTTTAAATTACCAATCAAAACGTCGAACTCATTATTTTGCTTATAACTTAAAAACTAGTCTATTTAGAGATTTAAAAATATACACAAAATGAGATATGCTAAATTAAAATCGGATAATAAACTAAAAAGTTATTAATTACTATTTAACTGGGAATAAGCCACAATTAAAGATAAAAATACGTTTATTGACGTTTCAATTTCCACTTCGGAAATCGTTCTCAAAATACAAACAGTAAATTAAACAAATTTTGTTTTTTGTTACATAGTGAAAAATTCTTCTAATAATTTAATTTTATCTGACTCATTTATATTGACAATTCAGACATACATTATGCATTTTAAAGTAGACGACTTTAAAATGATATTGCCAATATTGTTGAGTTGCGCTCCTGGAACGACTTTACTTATAAGATAGTTCATTCGATTACATATTCAACTTTAACTTGAGAATATCCGTCAGAAAAAATCATAGTATGTAATTCGTCTTTTAAAAAGACAAACACATGACATTATGACAGTAAAATTCTCCAGTTAGTGATTCCATAGTAAATTATGAGGGAAAAACCAGTAAAAAAACCTCATAATACTATCCCGACATGATAAGTATTTGTTCGTGCATTTAATTTACCTTCAATAAACACCAAAATTCTGATTTTATATGTTTCGTTATTAAAAAAACATAAATGATGTATCCTCTATATGTTACTGACTTACTAATACTGGTATTTTCTTATTAATAACTTCTTCTTTCAATATTGGTAACCAGATCCTACTACATTCTGCCGAGGAATTTGCGACACAATTGGCATCATTTAGCATAATTAGAGCCGCTTCTTTGATTTTTCTTTTTTTACCATCCGTTTCTTTTAGGACTACATTTGAATTATTAAATTGAACCCTATGTTCATTATCCCATGCGTGTTTACATATTTGAGATCTATCAAATTTTCTATTTTTAATATAAGATTGATGTTCACTTATTCTAACATTTAATGGCCTTGATGTTTCACCTAAATAAAACTGATCGCATTCACAAGGTATTTTATAAATGCAATTCTTTGTCCTTTCTTGTTCATTGTTAGGTTTGATTTTTTGTTTTGGTGTTTATTGAAGAAAAACTAAATGAATGAACAAATACTTACCATGTCGGGATAGTATTATGAAGTTTTTTTTCTTGTATATCACTCATAATTTACTATGGACTCACTAACAGGAGAATTTGACTGTCATCATGTCATGTGTTTGTCTTTTTAAAGACGAATTACATGCTATGATTTTTTCTGACGGATATTCTCAAGTTAAAGTTGATTTCATGTAATCGAATGAACTATCTTATAAGTAAAGTCGTCCCAAGAGCGCAACTCAACAATATTGGCAATATCATTTTAAAGTCGTCTACTTTAAAATGCATAATGTATGTCTCAATTGTCAATATAAATGAGTCAGATAAAATTTAATTATTAGAAGAATTTTTCACTATGTAACAAAAAACAAAATTTGTTTAATTTACTGTTTGTATTTTGAGAACGATTTCCGAAGTGGTAGTGGAAGTATTTTTATCTTTAATTGTGGCTTATTCCCAGTTAAATAGTAATTAATTTAAAATGCCATAAGAAAATAGCTTCAGAACAATATTAAAAAGTTATTGCGAAATGAACAAAAAAATTCCTGTTTTTGAATATTGTTCATACGTTTTTTACTGTTTATTGAAATATGTTTAAATGTACCTGAGTATAAAGGCCTTATCGTATGTCTTACCAGTATGGCGAGATCGGTTGAATAGTTTTTGCGAAATTTAATTTGTTGCAAGCTTTTTTGAAAAATGAGCTAATTTCTAAGGCTGCTCCAGATAATTTGACTGAATCGATCTCAATAATCTGCGGCTTATTTTTTAGAGAGAAAACCTATACTAATAATAAGGTTAAAAAACACAACCTTTTAACTTTTAAAACCAAAAAAATATTGTAGGACCCTTACGAGTCAAGATAGCCACTTTTAAAAACAATCATTGTTACGTTAATTAACAACATTAAGGGTTACATTAACCAATTTTTTATGAGAAAAGTCAATGCCAAAGTTGAGCAAACGAAATTATTGATAATTGTTTAAATATGAGAGTCGTAAACAAAGAGTACTTTGTGTTCCGACTAGAGTAAAAGTGGTGTTGCTAACTGACAGAAATGCCAACCGTGCTCTTTAAAAAATCAGACAGTTGCAAAATTAAGCATTCGGAAAAAACGACATATCTTGGGTTGCTATAAAGATATTGTTAAAAATTTTTCGGGGTCTTGTAAAATGGAGTTTAGGTTTAATTTGATGATTGCTAAGCTTAAAAATATTAATTTTTTTATGAGATATCAAGTCTTAAAATGGCTAATTTCGCGCATTTTAAAACCTTATATTGTTTATAACTCGAAAACTAATTTAAAAGTAATGTACTCAACATTTTTTTCTCAGAATCAGAAAGTTAATTTTAAAAAACTTGTTACAGTCAAAAATATTACAAAATAATTTTACGATTTGTTTAAAAAAATGGTTCAAACCATTTTTTGTCATCATTTTCTCTTGTCAACATGGATTTTTGTTATAAAAGGAGTATTTCAAGTAATATTGTGCAAAAATATAAAATAAGAATATTTTTTCTAGCCGCCCATATTACCTGGACTATAATAAATATGCGAGGCAAATTTAAGAAGAAACTTTAAGGAGTTATATTTTCTCTTACAAGAATATTACGTATACGATTTTTTGTTCTAAAAATATTTTTTTAATACTAACAAACTGATTTGTTCAAGTTTAATAAGAGTAAGTATATAAGAAAATTGTTTAAGTATAAATAAAAATTTAATAATATTTATAAATAACATTTATTTAATATAATTATATTTTAAATAAATAAATAAATAACAATAAAAAGCGACTTAAGAGAAGATTTGTACATCCCGTAGTTATTAGCTGCTTTGGTTTGGATAATTTTGCAATGAAAATACATTAAATGTTACTATTTTAGCATTGTACCCCAGTTTATAAATAGCAAATTTGGTCCAGTATAACCCAAGATATGTCATTTTGAGTAAATGAGCTATCTTGGCTCCTAAGTACACAAGAAAATTTTTTGGTTTTAAAATTTGTGTTTTTTAAACAACTTTGCAAATATTTTTTAGCAATTTAATTTAAAAAGTGCCATTTTATTTAAAAAGTGCTATTATGTACACAAATATATATTTGTGTGCATAAATGTAATTTTTAAACTTTTTTTCCATAAGTACATTCAGTCAAATCATGTGGACCAGCCTTATGTAGAAATTAGGTCATTTTAAAAAAAATCTTATAAACAAATTTAATTTAAAAAAAAAAAAAACGTTCAACCGATCTGGTCCATCTTTTGCATACAATTTAAACAAGATAAGACCCTTAAGTTCTGGTACATTTAAATAAATTTTAATAAAAATTTAAAAAACGTAGTACTAATATTCAAAAACAGCGATTTTGTTGTTCATTTTGCAATAACTCATTTGTTTCTTATTCGATTTTAATTTAGCATATCTCATTTTGTGTATCTTTTTTTCCTGAAAAATTTGTCTGTTGACGTCAAATCTCTAAATAGACAAGTTTTTAAGTTAGGAGCAAAATAATGAGTTTAATGTTTTGATTGATTATTTAAAAAGATTTCCACTAAAAAATCGATGAATCCCTAGATGAGAGTCATTTTTAATATAGCATACCATACATTTCAACTTTCAATCCCGTCTATACAGTTGTGACGAGTAAAAAGCTAACTTAACTGACAAGAAAGATGTAATAACATGGAATTTCTACAGTTTAATAAAGGTCTAAACAAGAGTTTCTTTTTCATTGAGAAAAAAACTATGTTGTATTATTTGCTATTGAAATTAATGATAGTACTCGTATGTTTTATTAGTTCTTTTTTTTTATTCAGTAGACCAACCATAATATAGAGCCATCGAAAAAAAAACGTAAACGATACCATAGGCTAAAATAAAATAAATAAATATATAAAATAAATTTATGGCTCGGTACTAATCTATTCACAGTACTGAATGAAGTGAAAATGATTGTTTGAAATTATCAGTAGTAATATACCTAGGACATTGATAACAGACGAGATAATTTCATGACAATCGAAAGCTCGTTCCTGTTACCAAGCAACGAGCTTGAGAAATTTGTCATGAAATTATGAAGCATTCATCAATGTCCGAGGGATATTCGGCGGATAATTTTTCGAAAAAAAAATCATAACGAAACATTTATTTATTAAAAGTACAGTTAGTGAAAGTACAATTATTAAAATTTAAGTTAACATTAGATTGCCGAAACGTGACATTTTTAAATTTATTTGGATATCGTGTTAAAATCGATCGTGTTGTCATAGGGATTGAAAATTGCACTGAATGTAATTATCAGTCTAATGTTGACATGCTTGGGTGAAATTGTTCCACATGACACAAAATGGCGAAATTTGAATGGTTGTTAGAACAGTCGAAAAATTATCAATATAATGTTTGGATAGGGGTATATTTTTGACAAATATTGTTGGGAAAATTAAGAAAAAGTGGTATTTAACACTGCAAATAATACCAAATATTACTTCTATATAAATATAAAAGTAAACAGCTAGTCGCAAAACAGTGTGAATGAGTTTTTAACTAAATATTTTGCCAATTGGAAATATAAAGACAAATTCATTTTTTTTTTAATATAAAGACAAGGTCACAAAAGTATTAATTTTTTTGACGTGATTGATAATATAAAAATGTTACTTTTGCACCTAGACGTAAAAGTGAAGCACTTTTAAAGTAACCATAATACTAAAAATTATTTGTGATGTTTGAAAAAAAAAAGTATGTTCTATTCGGAGTAAAAATGACTTTTTGTGTCTCGGCCCAACTCGCTACGCTCGTCCACAAAAAGTATCATTTTTACTCCTAATAAAACAATATGCTATTATGTTTTCAAAGGATTTTCAGGTATACACAGAGCACTGATAAAAACCACTAATAATGTAGGCTGAGAATAGTCAGTATCGTACATATTGTTGAGTAGGTACCATTTTTTAAATAGACATCAATTGCTGTGAGAGATACTTTACAATGAGATATTTAATCAATTCAGAAATCAACTTGGTAATGAGAAATTAAAAAATGTATATTACTAATTATCGCACACACAAACCGAGTAACGATTCAATATCTTTGAGTTTTTTAATAAGACAATAAAAAGAAGGAACACCAAGTCCCATCTCCCACTAGCTAGATATTTAACATGTGTAATGTTTTTGAATGGCCCTTAATAAAAAGTTTTATTTATTTATTACAATTTCACAACCTGGTAAATTTTTTTGTTAAAAATTATTTGTTCTTTTACATTTTACTTTAAAATATGTTTATTTTTGACGTTTCGATTTCCACTTCTCAAAACCAAATTTTGTTTTTGATACTTGGTAAAAAAATTGAATTTTATATGACTCATTCATATTGACAATTCAGACACATATTTGTCTAATTTCTAATTTTTATTACAATGAAATCAATATTTATGTTTGCCTAAAAATTAAATGATAATTACTCTTTTGATATTCTTCTTCGGAAACTTCGGGACCTTCATCATTAACTTCAAAGTCTTCGGGATTTTCCATAGTTCTTAGCTGTGGCAACTACAATAAACAAAAATAATATGACATGATTAATATTAAAAATAGTGTTACGATAAATTCTGACCCAAAACCGTAAACATATTTATTACTATTATTCTATTCATTCACGTATTTTCTACAAGTATTCGGTAGTATATGACCTTTGTAGGTCATATACTACCGAACCCTCCAGAAGGGTCCGAATAAATACTTCAGGTAGCAAGAACGGCGGCCCGAACCTAGGAAAAACATGTTTATATTCTATACCAGACGAGATATGCCATCGAACCTTCGACGATGTTCCATTTTAACACATGATTTCATATAACTAAAGGGGATTTTCATTGAAAGAGGCAGTCAGAAAAGAAGATCGCGATCGCGTTTTAAAATGTAACGCACGTATAGATAAATATTTTAGTAAATTAAAATAAGAACAATAAATTAGAATTAATAAAGACATAACAATAGTTTACATATTATATATAAATATATATATATATATATATATATATATATATGTATATATATATATGTACATATATATATATATATATATATATATATATATATATATATATATATATATATATATATACATATATATATATATATCAATATATATATATATATATATTATATATATATATATATATATATTGAGATAATAATATATATAGAGAAATTAGCATAATAATGTTATGATTTTTAATTATTAAAATTAAATAGTGATTAAAGAAATAATTTATAAGTTATAGACTAGAGAATATTATAAAAAATATTTATATGAGGGTATTTTTTAAGAAATTTTCATAATGATAAGTTTAAAAAGTTTTTTTTTAATTTTTATTTTAATAATAAATAAGGGTGATGAATTGAGAAACCAAGGTTACTAATAATATAAGAGAAACGGCAAATCTGGCAACATTGCAAATATTAAATATGGAATCTCCGTATCCCAAAATAGGTGCACCCTAAAATTTTGTACAATTATTAACAAGTTACGAGATAATTGGCTGTTTCCAGACTTTTGGGCCACTCTGATATATATATATATATATATATATATATATATATATATATATATATATATATATATATATACATATATATATATATATACATATACATATATATATACATATATATATATATATATATATATATATATATATATATATATATATATATATATATATATCATCATCATCATCATCAATGGTGCTACAGCCCTATGAAAGAGCCTCGACCTTCCCAAGTCTATTACGCCAGGCAGTCCTATCCATTGCCAACCGTTGCCAGTTTGCTGCGCCTATCATTCTACCATCCTCATCTACACCATCCTTCCATCTGAGTTTTGGCCTACCCCTTTTTCTGCTTCCCACGGGTTTGTGACATAAGGATTCTTCTAGGAGGGTTGTTCTGCTGTGATCTTGCTAGATGTCCTGCCCATCTTAATCTTCCTATTCTTATAAGAGATACTACGTCTTTACCACCAAATATTTGTTTATATCTGTGGTATACCTCGTAGTTGTTGTAGCTGTGGTATATATATAAAATGTATTCATTTATTTTTATATTGAATCATTAATTAGTAACAAAGTGGAATGACTTAAAAGAAAATGTAGATTGTAAATTTCAGAGGAGATACTTGACCTCATAGACCTTTTCACAGTGAGGCCTGAAAGAAATTTGGTATAATATACCTACACTAATCTTTTTACAACAGTTCAAAAGGACTAGTTGTCCTTTATATTTGATTATGCAGGAAATATATATTTAGCTGGTTAATTATTTAGAGCAGTAAAAAATGAAATGTATGATTCTAAAGAAAAACTTCAATTGGCATTTTGATGCTTCCAACAGTAGATGCTTGCGCCACGAGATCGTACTCAGTTGTTATCGTCGCCGAGGGGAAGGATTCTACTTAAATAGGCCGATCGTGTGAAATTTACAAAATCTCGTTCGCACCCTTTTTGAGATGCATAATTTTCTTCATCAACCATTTTCTATCGACTCCTGAAGGTAGGTATCTCCCCATTGCTTCCATCTTTTTTTATCTTGCGATAATCTAATCTACTCTGTGCCTGTCACTGCTATTTGCTTTTAATATCATCTACTCATCTCTTCTGAGATCTTCCCATGCTTCTTATCGAATTCCCTGGTCTTTATTTTAGGATTCTCCGTGTCCACCTGTTATCAATGTATCTGACTTGTGATCAGCCCAGCGTCATTTCATTTTTGTAATTTCTTCCACGATATCCCTGATCTTCGTTCTACGTGTGCTCTCAGTGTTTCTAATATTGTTTCTTAGTGATATTTCAAGCATGTTTCATTCCATTGCCCTTTGCGTTATTTCTAGTTTTTCAGCAGATTTCTTGGTAAGTGAAATGGATTAGTTTTTCGAGATATGCTCGTTTTGCCGAAAGCGGCCCATGCCAGTATGTTCTTTTAATTTCAGCATCTTGATTTGGTTTTCCCAGTTTGATGATATGGCCCAGTTATACATAATGTTTAACATTTTCAATGGGATGGTTTTGTATTACTATATTTATGTGATCATGGCTCATTATTTTTGTTTTACTGTAGTTCATTTTTAAGCTTACTGCTCCAGAAACCTCATTTCATTGCTATAACATTTTAGAGAGACGTAATAAATTAGATAATTCTTAATCTTTAAAGCTGTTAATTCCAGCGTTTGGAGGTAAGTTAATGATTTTTCTACGAACGTGTGGGTAATCAATCATAAGTGGTTCTCAGGTTTGACAAAAAAAATATGAATATAGTTCATTTTAACGTAAGAAATTTATAGAAGGTAAACAATTAAGTAAGTAATTAAAATAACTGAATAAATAAGGTCATAATGTTAAAAAATGTTAAAAATAGTAAAAACAAAATATTTAAATAAGCAGTAAATACTTCCAAACCTGGGATTCTAAGAGAATTTTTGCTTGTCAGAGGTGCAGAAGGTTGTGATAACCTTTTTGTTTGTGTTTGGCCTGCAATATTTTCCAATATATTGCATTAAGCCAATATTTATATTTTCTGTCTTCTTCCACGGCGCCATTTTTTTATACCACAGAGAGGTATTTAAAAGATTAAGTGCTTGAAAGTCTAAGAACATTACAACTGTGAAACTAAAAAGATAAAGCCAATAATAGGAAAGAATTGAAAATGATCCTGGAGCCGGCAAAGAGGTTGTGATGGCAATGCGTTGTAGAGTCAAAGATGATGATGATGATAGTTAAAAATAGTTTCAATTTATTAGTTAACCAACTACTTACCAATTTGTGTCTAGCTCTTTCCTTATTTCTCAACAGAACCAACTGAGATATTGGAATATATCGACCAGCCCCCTTGTTGTACAAAAAATGTTCAACCTCAAATCAGATACGTTTAAAATATACCTATTTTTTTCTTTTTCAATATACTTACTTTAGTTTTGATAGCATGATCAATTTCGGCATATTGTTTGTTCTGTGTAGCCCTCTTCATTAATTCAACCAACAGACCACCACCTACAATTGTTTTAATATATTTTAATAAATATGTATACATATATATCTATATATATATATATATATATATAATATATATATATATATATATATATATATATAATATTATAGGGTGTTCGATGACGAGCTTACACTATCTATATATCGGAAACTACTTACACGATATTTGTGAAAATTGGTTTATGGGGATTAAACGTTATGGCGAATTTAAAAAAAATGTTTTGACAGACATATCACTTCCGGGTGAACAGCAACTTAGTAATTTTAAATGGAACACTCTGCATATTATTACATTTTTAAATTTTACATAGAAATTCTAGATAAAATTAGGGTTTCCTAATACCTAATGGGTAGGAACATTAGGGTTCCCTAATACCTATTGAAAGAAATAAAAAACAAAAAATCGCCTGGAAAAGATGCAATAACTGCAGAGATGCTGAAATATGGTGGAAAAGTGGTAATTAATACTCTACATTCCCTTTTTAATAAGTTATTAAAAGAAAAAAGAATCCCAAACAACTGGAAGGAATCAGTAACCATTATCCTACAGAAGAAAGGGGATAAAGCAGATATAAAAAACTACCGTCCTATAACACTCCTCAATGTAATGTATAAACTCCTAAAAAAAATTTTAACCAATAGATTGACGACAAAACTCGATGGATACCAGTCAAAAGAACAAGCTGGTTTTAGAAAGGGATTCAGCACAAGTGACCATTTACTAAGTATGAAAATACTTATAGGACGAGCAAATGAATACCACATTCCTCTATATATGGCGTTTATAGATTTCGAAAAGGCTTTCGACAGAGTCGAACATTGGGCAGTGAAAAGTTCTTTGATTAACAGCAGAATTTACCACAGATATACGAGACTAATAGCCAATATATATAAGGAAGCCAAAACAACAATTAAAGTATATTAAGGAACAAAATCAATACAAATAAATAGAGGCGTGAGACAGGGTGATACAATATCACCGAAACTTTTCAATCAGGCTCTTGAAGATACTTTTAAAAGATTAGAATGGGAAGAAAAAGGTATAAAAATTTGTGGACAACGCTTGAACCATCTAAGGTACGCTGATGATATCGTTATTGATAACTGATAAAAAGAAGAATTATTTGAAATGATGAAAGAACTGGACGTAGAAGCTGGTAAGATAGGCCTTAATATGAATTACAGCAAGACCAACACCATAACAAATACAGATGAAGACATCACAATGAGAATCGGACAAGATGAAATAGCACAAGTTCAGGATTATACATATCTTGGTCAAACTATAAAACTTAACAAAGAGAACCAAACAGAGATAAAGAGACGAGTTAGATTGGCATGGGCGGCATTTGCCAAACTAAGCTACATTCTTAAAAACAAAAGATATCCACAGCATCTTAAGACCAAAGTATACAATCAATGCGTACTCCCTGTTCTTACTTATGGTTCCCAAACGTGGATATTTACAAAAGCAAACATGGACAAAATCATAAAAACCCGAAGAGCAATGGAAAGACAAATGTTGCACATAAGACTAATGGATAAAAAGAGAAACGAGTGGATAAGAGAGAAAACAAAAGTGAGGGATGTTAGACAAGAAGTTGCAAAATTAAAATGGAGATTTGCCAGACACAATATAAGACAAAAAGAAGACCGATGGAACAAAATTCTTATAAGTTGGAGACCGTGGGAATATAAACGAAGCAGAGGAAGGCCCCAAATGAGATGGGCAGATGATATCAAGAAGCACGTGGGCTCTAGGTGGATGACTGTAGCGACAGACAGAGAAAAATGGAAAAGGATTTGGGAGGCCTATGTCCAAAGATGGACCGAAGAATGCTAATTAGATAGATAGATAGAATACCTGAAGTTAATATTTTTGGAGATAATTGTGGTTTAATGCTAAACATAAGATATTACTTGATTTATTCTAGCAGGCGTTGAATGAAAATGTCATAACTGTCATTATTATTTGTGGTTATTAGTACTTTGGCAAAGTGATAGAAATGGCTCGTTTAGAATTAAACAACGAATTATGCGTTTTACTTTTAGGACATGGAGAATGTGACACAGATATTACTGGAATATGTGCTTTTTTTGCAAAAAAATATCAAGCTCGATCACTAACTGCACATGATACTGTGAAGAGATTGTAACGTAACTTGTCTGGATGGGAAGCGGGCGATTGAAATAGAAATAGAAAATCCAGATGCAAGCCGGTTCACCTTGCAAACCGACGCTGCAGAACGGGCAGAAAAAATATATTGTTTAATTTTTGTATTGGTGTTCCTTATATTTACTTGACATATTAAGCGCATTATCATAACAATATACCAAAAACCAAGAAAGATAAGGAAATTATCGATTTATTACCAGTTCACTATTCTAGACAGCTATAACTAACGTTGATGGGAAGATAGGCGGAAGTATTCATTCGTATATTTTTATAAATTTTGGCTAAATATATGTTCCAGTATGAATGCAGCAAAAAATGTGTGCATTCATGTCTATGTGCATACGAATTTTTTCTAACTCGTCTCCTCTCATTCCAATACTTTTAGCCTGATTCCAGTATTCTTAATCTTGTGACAGATTTATTTAGATCATCAAATCAACACCTAGGAGAGAACCTTCATAGTAAAAATTGCATGTCTTGTTAACAAAATTGACTCATTTGTCATTGAATCTTTAGTTACTTTTATATATTCTTTAACGTAATATCACTTTAACATATTTTTTATCTTCTAGATATTTAAAAATTGAATTATTCCATATATTACAATATGCTGATACAATGTTGGTTGCGCTAATTAAAAGAATACTTTAGTCTTTAGAGTCTTTACTTAGTGAGTTTTATTATCTCGAGAACAGCCTGCACAATTTATATGGTAGATCTTATAGCAGTATTTAGAGCAGTTTTGTTGTCAGATTTTCCATTTTTCTGGAAACATAATGAACTTTGTTATTTTAAAATGTATATCCGCTCAATTTAATATAATAGTTACATAGATGGTTGGCACTGCAACAATAACTAATAATTTGGATAAATAAGATTTATCCAAATCAAAACGCAGAAAAATGCATTAACTGAAGACAAATCTTTAGATCTTGTCGTGTTAGAAGAATATCCACACTTGAGTACTAGACGTTACGATCCAATTTTTTTTAAATAATGTTATGTTTTACGATGAGTTATAAACTGGTCATGTAACAATCATCGTTGGATGCATGAATACTACACCCAGTATCCAGAAAAACTGGATGTATGGGTTGGAATAATAGACGACAAAATAATTTTACCCTATTGATTGAAAGAAATGATCCGGCGTATTTAAATTTATTGGAAAACAGTGTTATACTTATATTGGTTCGGTTCCAAATCCACAAAACTTTTATATTAGCTTTTTAATTTAGAAATTTCATTAGTTAAACTTTTAGATAATTACAATGTCCAACAAAACAGTATTTGGCTGTAACATGATGGAGCTTTACCTCAGTATCCAGGTGAGGTTCGGTAATACCTAAATATTGTGCTTTACAGAATATATATTGAAGGGTGTGGTTTAAAAAAACCTACAAATATTCTGGAATTAAAAATAGGATTGCCGTAGAGATAAGAGGAATTGCACAATTATCAAAGTTGCAAAATCAACTGCAAAGTCTTAAATATCGCATGGCTTGTTGCATTGCAGTAAACGGAGAACATTTTAAACAACTGCTGTAACTCCATTTGTATAAAATGAGTTGCTGCTAAAACTTCAAGCTTACCTTTAAGATCGCATAACTTATAAATCGGTTGAAGTGCTGCTCCCGCTTGTTTCTTGACGCCACTAGTAACATTACTTTCAGTATTGCCCATATTTCTGTATCATAAAAAAAACTATATCGTATTGAAAGATCCTTTTTTTACTTAAACCACTTATTTTTTACACATTTTAATACTTTTTTAATGACTAAACTAATTTTGTGTGCAAGAAACATATTGGAATATATTTCGATGAGTGGCAGAATATTGATCAAACCGGACAAAGTTTGATCGATATATTTTTAAACAATGACTATTTGTAAAAATATCTACTGTTCTCACCACGGCATTCTAAAAAATATACTAATATAATATAAATTATATAAGTAAAAACCAAAAGTTGATTTCAAATAATTAAATTTATTTGCCTCGTATTAAAACATAAATGAACATGTTTCTGAAGCCTCACATTAAAATTTATCAACAAACGTCGAAATAAACCCCACATGAAAAAAGCCCCATTTTGAAAAAAAAAACCCATTTTGAAAAAAGGTTTGGATTTTAATATTACGCTGAGATGTTCCCACAAAAAAAAATGACAAAAATAGTTATGTGCTTCTTCTAGCTCTAATAAAGACTAAGAAAGTATATAATTTTTCTGTTCGTTATTTTTTATCTTTATAATCTTTATAATCTGTATAGTACTAGGCGATTTTAATGTTTCAAGGTTTATAGATAATGATATGTCTGATTTCAAAACTTCTGTAGTTTTAAGTTTTGCGGGCTCTACTAGCCTTATACAATTTAACAATGTTGTTATTCATTTGGGTAGACTGCTAGATTTGGTCTTATCGCATTTCAGTTGTGAAGTGAAGCATGATGACTCACCTTTGGTCTATGAAGACTCTCATCACCCAGCTCTTCTAATAACATTTACGGATATATTTGTAAAAGAGCCTAAATTTAAGTGTGGTTTGAAACAATTAACTTACAACTTTAAAAAAGCAAATTTTCCTGCTTTATATCGAGAACTGTATGAAACGAATTGAAATTCTCTGGATACTTCTAATGACGTTAATGAAACTTTAAATAACTTTTATGATAAGATTTTTTCTGTGTTTAATAAGTATATTCCAGTTTATAAAAACTTTAGCCATAAATACCCCCCCTGGTTCGAGGCTGATATCATTCACAACATCAAATTACAAGCAAAGTTTAGAAAATAATTTAAACGATTTAAATATCATTGTGATTTGCTTGAGTTTCAATGGTTAAGACACCTTGTCAAATCAAAAATCATGGTTTCTTTATGTTAAGGTAAAATACTCGAAAAATGTGTTATTTAGTTAGTACCTATGAATTATTAATATTTCATTTAACTTTAGTATTGTATTTTGTCCTATAAATGGATTCTGTTGGACAATAAACGCTATTATTATTATTATTATCCCAGATTTAGCCATACGGCTCACGCTCCCTCTAAGGAGAAAATTCACTCATCCCAGATACCTACGGTATCAAAAGGATTGAGCTCTGGTGGGACTCTTTCCGTGTTATGGAGCCCTAGCTGACTTGGTATGTTGGAGTATCTCCCAGAAATTTTCGTACACATCTGGACGTCGCGAGGAGTACAGCTTTCTGCATGGTATTATAAAGATGTTCATTTAGACCCAGCTGTTTTATGTTCGCTAGGAGGTTTTTGGGAATAACACCAGTAGTAGATAGAACAATAGGTACTATCTGGGTACTTTCCATTCTCCATTGTCTCTTGATTTGTATTTCCAGATTTCTATACTTGGCGATCTTTTCGTTGTATTTAACACGCAAATTGTTAGTGTTAGGTATCGCCACATCAATAAGTGTTGTTTACCTGGTAATTTTATTTACTAGTATGAGATCCGGTCTATTATGGGCCACTGGTTGGTCTGTGAGCACAGTGCGGTCCCAGTATAGCTTGTAGTTGTCATTTATTATTATTATTATTATTATAATCTATTATATTATATATATATATATATATATATGTATATATATATATAATTATAATTATCATAATAATCATTATTATAATCCCAGATTTAGCCATACGGCTCACACTCCCTCTAAGGGGAAAATTCACTCATCCCAGATACCTACGGTATCAAAAGGATTGAGCTCTGGTGGGACTCTTTCCGTGTTATCGAGCCCTAGGTGACTTGGTATGTCGGAGTATCTCCCAGAAATTTTCGTACACATCTGGACGTCGCGAGGAGTACAGCTTTCTGCATGGCCTTATAAAGATGTTCACTTAGACCCAGTTGTTTTATGTTCGCTAGGAGGTTTTTGGGAAAACACCAGTAGTAGATAGAACAATAGGTACTGTCTGGGTACTTTCCATTCTCTATTGTCTCTTGATTTGTATTTCCAGATCTATATACTTGGCGATCTTTTCGTTGTATTTAACAAGCAAATTGTTAGTGTTAGGTATCGCCACATCAATAAGTGTTGTTTGCCTGGTAATTTTATTCACTAGTATGAGATCCGGTCTATTATGGGCCACTGGTTGGTCTGTGAGCACAGTGCGGTCCCAGTATAGCTTGTAGTTGTCATTTTCAAGCATTCTGTCAGGGACATATTGATAATAAGGAAGATGGTCGGTTTGGAGAAGTCCCAGTTTGTCAGCTAGTTCTTGGTTGATAATCTTTCCTACTGAGTCATGGCGTTCTTTATAATCAGTACCGACAAATGCCTGGCAGCCACCGGTGAGATGCTGGATGGTTTCTTGGGCTTGGCATCCATATCGGCATTTGTTATTTTGGACTTGAGGATCTTTAACAATATATTTCAGGTAATTTTTAGTTGGAATAACCTGATCCTGAATGGCAAGTAGGAAACCCTCAGTCTCGGGAAACATCTTTCCTGATGTCAACCAATAGTTCGACGCTGTATTGTCGACATATTCTTGGTTGATCTCATTGAGATGTCGCCCATGCAGAGGTTTACTCATCCAGGTGCGCATTTTTTCTTGCTTAGTCAGATGGTTTGTGCGCATTTCTTGTTCCCTCAGTTTAAGCGGCGTTGTGTCATCTACTACGCAAATTGCTCGATGTAAAGTAGATGTCTCAGCCTGTACCTGAAAATAAGATCTTAAATTAGCAATTTGTTTATCTAATTGCTCACCTATATCCATAAGTCCTCTTCCTCCTTGATACCGCGGTAATGTTGTTCTCTCTCTCTCTCTCTCTCTCTCTCTCTCTCTCTCTCTATATATATATATATATATATATATAATATATATATATATATAATATATATATATATATATAATATATATATATATAATATATATATATATATAATATTATTATTATTATTATAATCAGCTTTTATGGAAAACCCGCCGACGATTATTATTAAACTCCATGAAAATGTTTTTAACATTTTTGGAAAAACTCAGACTATTTTTACAAACACGCTTGATAGTTTTGTTAAGCTTTATGAGTACTACATATATCCCATTGGCGAGCACATTAAACATATTTTTTATAGGAAAAAATTAAACAAATATTTTTATTTAAAAAACAAGCATATTTAATATTATGATAAAGCTTCAGTTTTCAGTATCCTCTGTTTAGGTTTGGATGCCTTCATATAATGTATTACGTTCGGAATGTCCTACGATTAATTTTCGCATGAGACTCCTGGTTCGAAAAAATACAAAATTAAATTTCTATTACAAAAAAATTACTTTTGTATTAAAATACACAAATGAGACTAAAAGTTTTATTTAATTTAGTATAAACCCCCTCTGTGGCTTAGTGGTAAGAGCGCCTACCTTTAAACCTAAAGGTCGTGAGTTCGAATCTCATCTGGGTGGAGAAATTTTCGTTTATTAAAAATTAATGAATGAATATAATTTCTATCCTTGTGCGATCGGTACTCACCGGAGGGACCGCAGACGTTCGGATACAATTAGCGTCTCTTAGCAAAGACAATGGCGTCGACTTTGCTAAGTATTAAGACAATTACTCTACACACACACACACACACACACACACACACACACACACACACACACACACACACACACACACACACACACACACACTACACTAGGTACCTGACTGTACCATGTCAATGATCTTAGTTGTCGAGACATTAACTCAATAATAAAAAAAAATTCAGTATGTTTCGGTGATACAAATTCGACTAACTACGCAATTGTATATATTCTTATTATATGATATTCGATACTCCCTACATTCTCAGACAAAAAAGTCATTAAAGTTTAATTGCCTTCACCAGCCCTCAGCCGGAGAGACGATACGCTGATTAGGGGATTTTTTAAAATAAACGTTAAGTATTTACTCGACATTCTCTCACCTTGAGAAATTTGACATAATTTCTCAAAAAAAATGCAGAGAGTTGCGAAAAGGTCATGAAAATATCACTTAAATCTTAAAGAAGTTTTCACCACCCGGTCACAACGCGTATATCTTTCATTTAGGTCGGGTACTCTGCTTTTTATCACTCCCGCACTTTTTTCACTTGGTTCTTCCTCAAACTGAAGTCGACCAACGTTCTCTTGGGGTAACCTCTCTGGAACCGTGTGACATACACGGGTAGAGTATTACCTTGGGCACTCTCGCCAGTAGTAACTGTATCGGCGATCTCCAACGGGTGAAGCCTTTGTAATGGTCTCAGAAGTTGTCCTTGCGCAGTCGCAAGATGAACCAAGCTTTCCTGGTCATCCCTACCAGGTATAAGTTCAATAATATTTCCTAAAAGCCACTGAAGACGCTTGATGCTGTCATTGCCGACTAAAACGACATCCCCGATAGACACTTTAGATACTCTCGGCTTCTTCGTTCCTGCTTTGAGTTGAGCCAGATATTCAGCACGAAATCATTTCTTGCACACACCACTTTCTTTTAAAATGGACCGCACAATCCGTCTACCACCTAAAGTCCAATATTTTTCGCGAAGCCAACTAAGTAGTCCTTGTGTGCCTACATGACAAGAGCTTTTGTGTAGGCTTAAAATTAACTTACGCACTATAAAATGTTCACTCGGAAGTAAGATAGGCAGACGAAAATCTTCCGTGTCAAGTCTCTCAGTAACGCTAGTTTTTAAAT